TATATTAGCAGATGATAGGATGACACAAGGCGCTTTGTTTCCTTACTGAATCCATTTCTCCCCCCCTCTTTCCCCCCCATCCCGCCCCAGAGCCGCAGGATGGAGAAACCTGAGCCGCAGACAGTGAAACTAATGGAGGCACCAGGATGGAAGAGGAATGGAGAAGAAGCTGCTAATTGCCATCGACCTGACTAGCCCAGTCCTGACTCCCACACCCCAGCTCTGCGGTGCCCCTCACTCCTGACCCGCAGCCCCCCACTAGCCCAGTCCTGGGCTCCCCCCAGCTCTGCCGGTGCCCCTCACTCCCGACCCGCAGCCCCTGCTAGCCCAGCCCTGGGCCCAAGGTCGGAGTCGGATTTCCCCGAGCTCAGCACTGCAGGCTCCGAAATGCTGAATGCTCGGTTCTTTCTCTGTCTGCGGGTGTCTGTTTCCAGGCCTGGTACCCCCCCCCCCCCCCCCGCACTGCACAGTCCCCTTGAGTGGCTTGCGTGGAACAGGGCGGTGGGGGAAGAGCGGGGGTGGGTGGGTGGCTGGGGGAGCTCCAGCCCCAACAACAGAGGCCTCCCCCACCATTCCCCCATAACCCAGAAAGCCCCCACTGCCTCCTATAGCTCCCCCTGAGAGACATTGCCCCCCCCCAAATCTCCTCCCGCATAGCGTCCTCCCCCTCCCTACCGCAGTGGCGGCTCCAGCCCTTGGCCTCTCTGCTGGGGGGAGGGGGATGTGGCCCAGTTTGGAACGGGGGATGTGGCTCTGCAAAGAACCTGCCTGGGAACCAGCCCGAGAACCAGCCAACTCGTTACACGCATGAGCCACAGAATGAGAGGGGGGGAAAGCCCCGCACCCCATTCCCCACCCCCCTGAGCCAGCCAGTCCATGCCCTGGGGCCGGATAGGAGCTGGCGCCCCCTAGACGGGAAAGGCCCTGGGCCCCATTACTACCCTGCCTGGAGGCCCCTTTAAATCCCTGCCGTGTTCCTGGCTCCCCCCCCCCCCCATACGCCCAAATTTCATTTCTAAGCCACAAATCTTTTAATCTCCTCCTTGATTCCTACCTTGCAGGCAGCTGCCAGACCCCTGGGAGCTGGGGGGCAGGGGGGACAGACCACAGGAATCCAGATCCTCCCTTTGTCCAGATGGGGGGGGTGTCCAAAAAGAACACCCACTCCCCTCCCCACCAGCCACAGAACCAGGCTCACTAGGCTGGACAGAACGGGGGGGGCTTGGCAGGGAAATTGCAAGGGGCGTGAGCTCTGGGGCAGTAGAACCAGCCCCCGCTGGGTGCAAGGGATGTCCAGGGAGATCCCGGGGGGGTGGGGTTCAGAGCGGAGCCTGGAGGGGGCTGAGGGGCAGCATGTGGGGCCCAGAGCAGGATGGGGAGCCCAAGGATGTGGGGACAGGAGCAGCAAACAAGATATGGAGAGGGGCAGCCCCAGCACCCCCTGGACCAGGCAGTCACCCCAAAATCCAGGAGTCCTGGCTCTCACACACACACCCCCAACCACTGGACCCTATACCCCTCCCCGAGCTGGGGAGAGAACCCAGGAGTCCTGGCGCACTCACACACATACACACACACACACCCCACCCACTGGACCCCATACCTGTCCCAGAGCCAGGGACAGAACCCAGGAGTCCTGGTTCCCAGCCCCCGACCCTCTAACCACTGCACCCCGCTCCCCTCCCAGCACGACCTGTCAGAAAGGAGCCAGAGGCGCTGCTCATTGGATAAATACCTTTTATACCGAACTGCGGAGCTCAGCCGGGCTCTTTACATCCTGACACAGAGCAGGTGGGGGGGGGGACTTTTGGACTGGGGGGGGTGGAAGACTCAGACCAGGGCTAGACTGAACGAGGAAATAGGGGTGGGGAGGGGCAGGGACCAAGAACAGACCCCCCCCCCCCCC